CAATCAATCAATCAATCAATCAATGCTATGGATATGGAAGTTTCTTGAAATGTTTTGTTCAAGAAGTTGTTGAGGAAGGACTTACAACAAGGATAAGGAAAATGTACACATAGTCCAAATGTACAGTTAAAACCCTGTTGAACAGGGTCCCCCATGACTGAGTTCCGCAAGTATTTGGTCCAGTCCTAGACACTGTATTTTAAGTAAGGTTCATAGGAACTGGAATAGGTTCAGAGAAGGCCAGTGAAGATAATCAGAGTGGTAGAAATGAAGTCCCATGAAGAGAAATGGAAAGAGCTAGACATGTTTAGTCTTTAGAGGAGGAAATGGACTTGATTCACATTTTTGAAGTATCTGATGAAAAGGTATCATAACAAAGAAAGCCACGACATATTCTCTGTCATCCCTAAGGACAGAACACAGAACCAACAATAGATTTAAGTCATAGGTTTTGGTTCAATGTTCAGAAAAAGCACCCAACAATAAGAAAAAATTGACAGTAGAACAATGCCTCTTGTTCTTTTTTTGACCCTCCACAAAGTTTTTGCCCACCAGTGAGTTTTGACCACTCATTTTGGCTGTCTCACACTGCTTGTGGGCAAAAGGTCTGGTTTCTCTTCAAATCATATGCATCTTTTGCCCTGACTCTCGAGGTTAACACCTGTAGAGTGGAAATTAGGAAGAGCTTCCAGAGAGCTGAGTAAGCCAAGACACATTTTGGTGGTGTATGTCATGGTATCTTCTCATGACAGCATCTCTCTTCAGTGAGGGTGTGTATGTGTGCATACGTGCATATACGTGTGAGAGAAGTCTATCATTGCTTAATTCTTTCATAAGGACCTTACCAGATAGGAACTGCTTTGGCCAATATATTCACTGAGCCACATTTGGGTCATATATTTAGAAGTCCATGATAGGAATCTGTCTAAAGACTTGGTTCAATTGGAGAACACAATACAGAGTTTTCAGCTGGCTTTACCAGACATCTACTGGAGCTCCATATTTGCCCTATCTAGTGGACCCCTAGGAAAATATAGTTGAATACCTCCTTTTAGCATCATGTGCAAACTCCTACATGCACATTAGCTGCACAACAGTTGACCTGCTCCTATTCCAATCAGCTCTGGAAGCTAAACAATAACATTAATAAGGAATTGCTGATAGAAATGAACTCCTGATTCTTTCAGTATGGATAACGAGGCTGTGTTTGTCTTAGCTTTTAGCTGATTTGGAAAACAGTCCCATGTTTACGACTGATCTTCAGTGCCAGAAACTCTTAATGGAAGCGATGAAATACCACCTGCTACCAGAAAGGAGATCAATGATGCAGAGTCCCCGTACAAAGCCCAGGAAGTCCACCGTTGGCTCTCTTTATGCTGTGGGAGGCATGGATGCTGCTAAAGGTAAACCCCATTGTTTGATGGAGTGGCTTCTAAAACTGTAGGAGGCTCAGATCAGGATCAATTAGTTCACTTCTTAATGTCACTGAGCCAGGGGTACAAAATGAGTGAACTGGATGCCATATGTGCTTGCTTTTATGATCCCAAGATCCCAGAGTGTCTTATTTTTAGAGTTGAGGGTTAAATGAGGGTTACTTGAAACACCCTTCATCCCTTAAAACCCCAATCTCCACCCAAAATTGGTTCTGGCCCCACCCATTTCTGGAGTGTAGTCCTCAGCATGGTGTGCGGAACCCTGGAACTGTTTCCTCTTTCTTTTCCTTAATTTTTAAAAAAATTGCTTAAAGTTCTGAAGTACTGAGATGAAAAGGGATGGCCAGAATGAATTGATAAGAGTGATGCTGTGGCTGTTAAAGCATGGAAGAGAATATAGTAGAAGTAGATAATTCAGTATGAGTTGATCTCTTTTCCTCTTTCTCTTTATTGAGTTGATATCTTGGGAGCCCCAAACTGAAAGCTGGACTTTTCCTATAGAATGATTTTCTCAATTCCCATTTCCCAATTGAAACTGATAGATGTCCTATGACATAAAAACTGGGCAGATAAATAGGGTTGGGAGAAAATTGTTAAATCCACAGGAGATCATCCTCTAGCTTGGTTTCAAAACAAAAATCACATCAAGATCAGCTTTCGCATTTTGCCACAACCAAAGGGAGCCAGATACTGACCCAGTATTAGTTTGGTTAAAAAGATTTGTTTGAAAACTTGGACAGTCACTGCTTGTCATTGTTGACAATGCAGAAATGGATGACTCGGGCCAAAACAGCTTTCTAAACTTTTTAATCTTCTTTCACACCTTCCTTCCATCATCCTGGTCCTACTACAGCCCTGCTGTATCTTCTGAATTTTCAGAAGATATCAAGCAGGGTGTTTTTCCAGTTCTGGAACAGAAAGCCAAATGAAGAAATTCATAAATCCAGCAAGACATCTTCTATATTGTATCTGCCACTTATGAAGATTAAAAGAGGGGGCAGAGGCGGGAGGGAAGGAGAGAGAGAGAGAGAGAAAGGGAGAGAGATCTTGTATTTCATTTTCTTCTTGTAGAAATGTTAACCTCACACCTGCAACAGACAATGCTAGAAAAGCAATTATTCAGACAGGTAGCAGCATTATGTGCTGCTGTGGAAATAGTGGGTGAGATGGAACGTTTGTCCTAGTTTCAATCATGGTATCAGGCCACCATGTTTCATTCTGTTACACAAGATGAATATCAATATAATTCGGACGTAGCGGATCACCTCCTTCTAAATGGAAAAGCATGGTGCTTTATATTCTGAAGATTAAAAATGGAAAAAAAAAATGAATCGTATTGCAATCCTTGAAAAATCATAGCGGCCGTAGGAAATATCAAAGCTGAAGTTACGGCCCTTAAAATCGTTACTTAGTGCCTCGCCTTTAAAATCAGAAAGTTGGTAGTGGAATGAATTCAGATTTCATGGACATAAATAGAATGTTCTGCTTTCCTGTGATAGGCTGTAGTATCTTATGGCGGTGAACGGTTGTTTTAAATCACAAACATATTCTAATTTTAAAGCACTGGGGAAAATGAAAGAGTAAGGGACAAATGTCTTTGCTTTTGAAATATATAGCCCTTCTTTCTGAAAAAGACAGAAGAATATATTTTAGATATCACTCACAGGAAGGCTGGAAGAATTTGATCTTTTGCAAATTCTAATATGAACTGATCGGCTAGGCAACAAGCAGGTTAAATAGTTCAGTGATTCACTGGGTTTTAAAAAATGTCCTGAATGTTCCACCACAATTCTTGGCTCAAAAAAAAAAAAAGTATCTTTTTTTTTTTAATTTAAAAATGTGGTAGAAAATACACTTAAGCCTTCACATTCCAGTGCATACTTTACATGCATTTTTTTCATGCAGACTTTAAAATAAGGAAAGCTTCCTTTATAGCTATCCCTTTAGTCAGATGGAAATCTTTATGCATCTAACAACTAGGAAGGTGTTCTTCAAAATCATAGTTTTAGTTAGATGCAAATATATGCAGATTAAAATAATGCACTAATGGATGAAGCCATTAAAATTAAATCATCTGATTAGGTAATCACTGTAGAAATGTAACTTTCCTTTTTTCTAGTACTAATTTTCTATTTACATTTTCAACAGGCACCACCACAATTGAGAAATATGACTTGCGAACAAACAGCTGGATACAAATTGGAACCATGAATGGGAGACGGCTGCAATTTGGAGTTGCCGTGATCGACAACAAACTCTATGTTGTGGGAGGGAGAGATGGCTTGAGGACGTCTAATACCGTTGAATGTTTCAATCCAATAACTAAAGTCTGGACTGTGATGCCTCCAATGTCAACCCATAGGCATGGCTTAGGTATGATTGACAGAACTGTGATTCATGAAGAAGCATAGTGATGTGTGTGTGTATGTGTGTGTGTGTGTGTGTGTGTGAGAGAGAGAGAGAGAGAGAGAGAGACTTCTGATTTGGTCTAGGCTTCAGCTACTCAAACGGGACTGGATGTATTGTGA